GGGACTCTACACACCTGCACAACACATGCACATGTGCTCATATACAATACACACTACACACATTTTTCTCCAGAACCCCTTTGGGAGCAAAGGTGGACATCGAGGCCCTTAAGCCCGAATTCCTCCCCGTGCGTCTCCTGAGGACGTCCTGCGTTATGTCTTCCTGATGGCTGTGCCCGTCCCGTCCCATTAAGCGGGTGCGCCCTTAGTTACTGACCGTAAACAGCACTTGCCGCACCTCCGACAGGGGCATGTCTTGTTTTTTTTTTTTTTGAGACAGAGTCTCGCTTGTTGCCCAGGCTAGAGTGAGTGCCGTGGCGTCAGCCTCACTCACAGCAACCTCAAACTCCTGGACTCCAAGTGATCCTCCAGCCTCAGCCTCCCAAGTAGCTGGGACTACAGGCATGCGCCACCATGCTGGCTCATTTTTTCTATATATTAGTTGGCCAATTAATTTGTTTCTACTTTTTTAGTAGAGACGGGGTCTCGCTCTTGCTCAGGCTGGTTTCGAACTCCTGACCTGGAGCGATCCTCCCGCCTCGGCCTCCCAGAGTGCTAGGATTTCAGGCAGGCCAGAGCCACCAGTGCCCGGCCCTGGGGGCGCGTCTTTAACTGCACCCCACACCTTCTCCAGTCTCGTGGCCCTGACGGACACACAGACACTCTTGTTCACCCAGATGTCTCTAAGATCATCTCTGGGTTCCCCTTGTTTAGGGGCGATGCCACCACCAGAGGATGGGGAGAACGCGAGTGGCGGCGTGGACAGCGAGGAAGAGCCCGCCGGGGACGGGGAGGCGAGGCAGAAGATGGAGCTGTTCGTTAAGGAAAGCTTCGAGGCCAAGGACGAGCTGTTCCCAGACTTGCCCCGAGGAGAAGAGGGGCTGCCCCCCCGGGAGGTCCACGGGGACACCGCAGAGCAGGAGCCGGAGGGGACCCTCCCAGCGGAGGCCCCACTGCCGCAGCCACCGCCGTCCCTCGCAGCTGCAGGTGGCGAAGGTAATGCAAGCAGGGAGGCACGCACAGGTGCGGCGGGCACGGGGCGCCACCCGCAGGGGACCCGGCCTCTGCGTTTCCAGTCCCTGAGCCCCAGGGCTGAGTGTCACCTCTCCCCGGCTGCCGTTTCTAGAAGGCAGAGTCCACAGGTCGTCCCCCTGTCTAGGACAGCGCTGCCCGATAGGGACGTGAAAGGCGCCGTCGCTAGATTTTCTAGCGGCCTCATTCAAAATGGTCAAAAAGGAACCGGTACAACTGTTAACACTATGCTTTATTTAACCGGACACATCCCAAGTGTGACCACTTCGACATAGGATCGACACGAACGTTGCTCATAGTCTACGTTGTTCCTGTGCCGCCCACAAAGCCCAGCGTGGGCCTGTCGCGTGCGGACGGCACCTCCCAGTTTGCACGCCGACTTGCCACTGGTTGAAGGGAGGTGGGGTCCCCCCGAAACGAGCCAACTGCTTTACGCTGCTCCAGTCTTGAAGCCTAAAATTAATTAGAAGCAAAAACAGTTCAAGAAGGAAAGCAGGCTGGCCACATTCTGAGCGCCCGGCGGCTGCGTGTGGCTGCGGCCGCCATAGCAGGCGGTGCAGATCTAGGAGCGTGTGTGCGTGGGGGCCCCGCGTCATCGGACGGACAGAACCGCTCTCGGGGAGGCTGGGGGGACGTGCCCCGCCCCCTCCGGTGCTCTGCTCCCGCCTTCGCAGGGGGGCCGTCACAGCTCTTCTTCCGACTGACATGAGACGGGGGCTCGAGCGTCTCTCTGAGAAGTGTGACCTGTTCCGACCTCATTTTTCCTTGCGAAACGCCACCTGCCGCTTTCCGTGGCCCCTGGCTCCACTGTGCGGGCGCGTTTGCCCGAAAGCTGCCCCCGGATGGGGACGTCATGGGCGTCATTGTTGAAAGGGTGCGGGGCTTCTGTTTTGAGCACACGGGGGAGGTGTCCTCCGCGTGACCGTGAGCTTAGGAGTCGTCACGCGTGGAGTCTGCGGAGGCCAGGACACAAGGCTCTCCCCGCAGTCGCTCCCGCCCCTCTGAGCAGACACAGGGCGAGACAAGCGGGCAGTGGGGCGGTGGCGGTCACCACGGGCAGCGGGAGACACACGCACAGGCAGAGCCAGGCCAGGGCACCACGACCGAGGCCTCCGAGGCCTTCCCCGGTGCCCCTGCCAGGGAGATGCTGCCACCATTGCCCCATTTCGCGGAGCTGAAAGCTGAGGCTCAGTGGGCTGGAGAGACGTGCTCCAGACCGCAGAACGAGTGGGCCTGGGTGCGACTCGGGCGCCAGGCTCGGCCCCGCCAGCTCCCCAGCGTCTGCCCTTCCTCGTCCTCCCCAGCGCCTCCCTGGCCCGCACTGTCTGTCGGGCAGAGGGTCCTTCCTCCGCCCCGGCTCCTCCCTGACTCGGCCCCAGGAAAGGCAAAGCTGAGTAGAAACCATGTGTTCACGACGTCACTGTCCGCCTTTCTCGCGTGGACCAGCCCTTCCTCGCCTCAGTGAGGATGACGAGGAAGGACGCCCACAGCCTGCCAGCCTCGCTGTTCCGTGCAGGGCCTGGCCGTGAAGGCAGGGGCCGGGGACGCTGGCCTGTGTAGCAGTCCCCGGACGGCCTGCAGAACGCCGCCAGCGTTTTACCGAAACACGCTGCGCACGGCGCGGTTCCCAGACGGACCCCAACATCAAACCCGAGTCCAAGCCCTCCGGTGGCTGAGTGACCTCAGGCAAACCGCAAAGCCCCTCTGGGCCCGTCTGTGCCTCTGTGGCACGGGAGCTGTCCCCAGGCCACTGGTGGAGCGAACTCAGCAAAGCGCCCGGTGGTCGTTAGTCTCTTCCCTGCCGCACCCCGTCCCCCAGACGTAACACGGCCAGACGGCTGGGCTGCGGTGAAGTGGAAACGACAGGCTGGGCAGCTGCCTCGCCCTCGGCTCCTCCGTGGCTGGGGAGGCTGGAGAGGGAAGAAGAGCGGGCACGAGAGCCATGGCAGTCGCAAGCCCGGAGTCTGAGAAGCCACGGGGCGTCCAAGTGCAGGGGACCGGAGGCAGCCGGGCCTCGGCGTGAGAGTTCAGGAGGGCGGATGGCCTGCAAGGCTTCCTCGTCTCACCCCCACGGGGGGCCCCGATGCGGCTGCGAGTCTCAGGGGGACACACTGGACCTACGGATAAAGCCGAGAGGGGCACCGTTGGTCTCTAACAAAATCAAAGCCGGGAGACCGAAGAGAAATCGGAGCACGGGATTACAAGGATACAGCCTTGGGGACCTTGCAGAGCAGGGGCCTGCCGGGTGGAGGAAGGGCCCCGAGGCCGTCCCACATTCCCCAGCAGACCTGGCAACGATGATGACGGTGCATGAGGGGCGTGTGCAACGCCCTGGCTGGGGACAGGCACCCGAGCTGGCGGGGGCGGGAAGCCTGCCCCATTCTTCTTCTCGCCTGGGTCCCCCTGCCAGTCCCACGCGCCTGCTGCTGCAGCTGCTGCTTGGGTCCCTGGCTAGCGCTCTTGCCGCACTGCATTCGCCTCCAGATTACAGAAAGGGGCAGCCTTGCGGGTCCTTCCCTCTTCCTGGCAGATGGAAGCCAGTCCCAAGCCGTGGATGCCGGTGGCTTCTGCCGCGGGGCTGGCTTTGGGGACAGAGGGTTTCTGGCCTCTGTCTGGGCGTGGGCTGCGTCTTCCCCCGGGGCTTGTGCACCTGACACTGCGTGTCCAACTCACCCCGAGATGAGTGACTTTTCGTTTTGTCCCCCAGAATCGACTCCCCGGGTTGTGGCCACCGAGGAGGGCGTTCAGGTGGTGACCGAACTCGACGGGGCTGAGGCTGAAGACCCAGAGATCAGAACGCCAGAGACAAAGGAGGCACTCTTCGTGGATGTACGTGTGGGGCGTTCACCCTTGGAGACCAGTGTCCGTTTTACTGTCGGTAGAGCATGACCCAAAGTGTGGTGCTTGGGCCAGCGGGTGGGGAGCGGGTTAGAAATGCAGAGCCCCGGGGCCCCCCCAAGACCTGCTGGATCAGAATCTGCGCTTAGCAACATCCCCCCCACCCCTCCCCCGGGGGTCACATTCATGTTTGGGAAGTGCCGGCCCCGTGACTCCCTTTGCGCCGTGTTTCCAGTGGGTAAGTGACAGTGCGAAGCGGTCCTGCCCAGTTCACCTCACACAAAGCCGTCGTGTCCTCACAGTCTCTCAGCCCTCCTAGGACACTGCCCAGAGAGCAGCCCACGCCCTCACTGGCCTGCTGGCTTGTGAAGGTGTGACTGTCCCCTGGGGCCTGTTCAGGGAATGTTTGGTCACAGCCACTCCCCGAAGCTCTTCCTGTTTCGATGGCAGTCTTAAAGGCATGGGCCCACGGGAACGGCACCTCCAGGGTGGCTCACATTTTGTCACAACCCCCCAGGGACTGCACTTGGATGGGGCAAGAGCGGTGTTTCTCAGCACCTTTGACCTCACGCCCGGGGGTGTCACGCTCTGGCCTGTTGCCTGCAGCTTTGCTGCTCCTTGTTAAATTTCTAACTTCACCTGACTCAGTACGAGTTAAAGTGATCACAGTCAGTATTCATAGTGGGTTACTAGTTTTTTGGACCTATGTATAAGAAACACATTTGGGCGACTTATCTCCAACATTTGAGAACTGACTGCACGTAGAACTACAACGCTAAGAGCTAAATTCATTGACTTCTTGCTGTGTGCACAGCACTGTTCTAAGCACAAACTGTACTGACTGATTTAACCCTTCCGATAACTCTAAGAGGCACGTACTGTTACACCCCAATTTTACAGATGAGGAAACTGAGAAACAGAGAGGTTAAGCAACTTGCCCAAAGCAACACGGCTAGGAAATTCTGGCTCCAGAGTTCACCCATCCATCCCACTGTCTCCCTTCCCCACGTGCCAACTGATTGCTACAGATAAAGATACCAAAAAAACACAAAACCCCACAATACAAAACATAAAAGTCCTACCCATTTTGGAGGGGTACAAAATATATTACTTCCATACCACACAGAGTCCTGGCACGGATTTGTACAGAGGTGCATTTGGCTGGGTGGCTGTGTCTGTCACAGAGTGGAGAAAAGATGTGGACGTTCTTTAAACATGTCACACCTTGCAAAGTCTCACTTTCATTAGGTCAGACACATGGAGTGGCAGTCTGCCGTTTGCGGGTATGGGGTTCCCTTTGCGGGGGAGTGGGTGGAGGAGTCCTGGAGTGGTTGCGCATTCCCCCCCAACCGTGCTTGCATGTAACTAGGACTCGATGTACTGTGCACGTTGGCAGTTACCTTGCCTGTGGACCGGTCAGAGCTGTGTGCCTCCCCGGTGACAGACGGCTCATTTGCTCTTTCAGGACCTACCTGACCTGGAAGACGTTGACACGGGCGAGTCTCTGGATGATCACGATAAGGTTATCAGTGCACATTTTCCCCACAATCAACTTAGTTCCACTTTCATTCCTGTCACTTGCAAAGCACATCTCCTGAACTTGAAAGCAAAATACTGTTTGTGATTAAAGCATCGCACACCTCCATAATTTTCACCTTGCCAAAGGAGATGTAGCTATTTGTTCTTGTTCACTTCTTTAAGGTTTTATTATTTTATTTTTTTGGGACAGAATCTCACTTTGTTGCCCAGGTTAGAGTGAGTGCCATGGCGTCAGCCTCGCTCACAGCAACCTCCAACTCCTGGGCTCAAGTGATCCTCCTGCCTCGGTCTCCTGAGTAGCTGGGACTACAGGCATGCGCCACTATGCCTGGCTAATTTTTTCTATATATATTAGTTGGCCAGTAAATTTCTTTCTATTTATAGTAGAGACAGGGAAGGTTTTATTTTTTCAGAGACGGAGTCTCACTCTGTCACCCAGGCTGGAGTGTGGTGGTGCCATCATAGCTCACTGCAGCCTCGAACTCCTGGGCTCAAGTGATCCTCTTGTCTCTGTCTCCCGAGTAGCTAGGCCTGTGGCTAATTTTGTTAAATCTTTTCTAGAGACGGGGTCTTGCTAAATTGCCCAGGCTGGTCTTGAACTCTTCACCTCAAGTGATTCTCCTGCCTTGGACTGGCTGCCAAAGTGCTGGGATTCCAGGCATGAGCCACTGTGCCACTTTACGTTTTTATGATTAACCACTTGGGTTTTCTTGAACACACATTTTATTGCTGGTGTGTAATAACTGACTTCTGTGCATAGTGGCCTGAACACGTTTTTCTGTGCTTGAGATGTATTTGTATGTCACTCCTATGAATACCTGGTTGAACATAGCTACGAGTAGACAGAGGCAAGGAGTATATGAGGCAGCAAGGGGAATTCTCCCAGATGGCCCGGCCCTCGCCCCCCGGGGCGTTACTCAGAGCCATAGGTGGCAGGCCCAGCCCCGAGGGAGAAGGAAGCATCAGACATAATCTATGTGCACGAGCTTTCGTGAAACAAAGGAAGTAAACGCAGTTGCCGTGGGTAGACAGAGATCCAAGGAGCTAAGTCCTAGAGAGTCAAGGCCGGGGCCGGGGGCGTGCCAGCCAGAGGCCGGGGCTCTGGGGGAGCTCATTCGGGTACCGGGCGGGGAAAGCGTGGACACAGCAGAGGGTTGGAAAGCAGTGTAGACATTGGCTGCACAGCTCAGTGGACACAGCTGGCCAAGAGTGTCCGTCCCAAGGCCTGAGTCCTGTGTTCCCTTGGGCTTTTTTGTAGGTGGCTACAGAACAGTTTGTGGTGTTATGTAAAAAGGCAGAACGGGCACGGTGCACGCTGGAGCGGCTCTATTTATTGTGAAAACAGAAACGTTCAAACACATCTGTTCTTTTCATAGAAAATGTGCTTTCCGAAGATTGAGGCCATCTCGAGCTTGAGTGACGACAGTGACCCTGAACTAGACTACACGTCCCTCCCCGTGCTGGAAAAAACGTCCACAGACGCCCTCTCCAACATCTTCGCGGTCTCCAAAGACCCCTCAAAGGCAGCTCAGGCGCCCGTCACAGACATATTTAAAATAGAGGCGAAGAGGGACGTGGGAGCTCAGAGACCGCACACCAAGTCCCCGAGACCACTGATTGAGGAGCTCAGCGACGAGGACCCCTCGGGCCAACCATCGACATCCCCTGCCAGTGGAGACGAGGACACTGGGCTCGCTGAAGCCACTGCACCAGGTGAGATCCCAGGGCCCGGAGGCTTAGCGTACAAATGTTGACTCCCCTCCCGGGGCCGAGGCGGGTGGGGGTGCCGCCCGAGCCTTTGCCCAAGCACCCACGTGCGTGGGGAGCACGCAGACCCGCTCCTGAGTGCCCGGCTCTGGAGCCGCCCTTCTCAGGGTCCCGAGTCTGGCTGCCGTGGAGCCCACCCGGCCCCTGCGGCCGGGCAGATCCAGCAGTGTTGGTCCAGGAGGCCTGGGGGGCTACGGGACCTGCATCTCCACCCCTCCCCACCATCCCTGGCCCTCGGCCTTTCTAGACCTCGGTTTGTGGAGGAGGGAGGGGACGCTGGCATCCTGGCTGAGGCCGGTGGGACCGGTGAGGGTGACCGTTGCTCCACGTGAAGATCTGGGCCAGGTGAACCCTGCGCATGTCTGGGACGCCTTTGTGGCAGGGGCAGCGTCCAGGGGCCTGGCTGGCAGGACACGTAAAGCCGTGCTGGGCGTCGGGGCAGCCTGGGGGATGGGGTCTGTGGGGGAAGCCGGCCAGTGCAGGCTGAGGACGAAACGCCGCGGTGCTTTTGTTCGGCACCGGCCTTGGGCCGTCACCCGGGCGAGGGGGACAGCGCCCACTCTTAGCAACACCAACAGGTCACCAGGCTTTCTCTGGAGCAGCTGGAGGGTGGGCTTCGCTTCCTGGGGACACTAAACAGCCTTCTCTTTAACCCTTTAGGAAGCAGCACCGAGCAGAGCGAAGCGCATTCGGAGCCTGGGGTGGGGGCGAGCCAGGACGCCGAGTTTGGCTTGGACTGAACCCCCAGGCGGCCCCTCTGCCCTCGGACTAACAGTGACAGGGAGCGGGCGCAGGTCACCCCTTCGGCCGGCTCTCCTGGCGCCCCCAGCGCGGCAGTGACTGGAGAACGGGCTCCAGGGCCTTCCCTGGATACCCGCCCGGGCCGCCTGCTCACCCCTTCCCCCACCTGAGTCCGCACACGTGTGGGACCACACCACGGTCCTTGTATTCAGGGTGTCACGTGACCTCCCCCAGTTATTTGTGATATAAGCAGTATAGTTATAAATGTCTCTTTTTGAGCATAAACATCTTGACATCCATGTGGGTCAGTGTGTCACTGGACTAAGACCTCTGCGAGGCACGTGCGTTTCTTTCCAGCAGCTACCCTGCGACCTTTTCTCTCTCAACGTGAGCAGAGACTGCGATCAGATCCTGGTCCCCATGACATTTCCCAGTGGGTGTTTGCCCCAAAGGAAAGCAGGATCCCCCACCAGAGCTAAAGAAAGTTAGAGGAACTGGGACTTCGTGCGTGAGACGTCAGCAGTAAGGCGACGCTGTCCCATCTAGAAATGCGATCACTGCCGTGCTTGGTGACAGGTTTACTCAGTCCCTGAACCTGGGTCCACAGCGTGTCCCTCTACAAAACATCAGATCACAGAGGAGACTGACAAACACAAACTAACCCAAATGACAGCCACTGTGCCTCCCTCCCAAGGCACTGCCAGGCATGAGCAGTGCTCTGGGGAGTCACCCCACCTTCACCAAACACGGGGAGCTCGTACTGCTGCCCGAAGACTGCGCGACTTGCCTGAAGCCCCCAGCTAAGGCACAGCAGACCCTGCTGTCTCTGGGGAGAACTGGCCCTGCAGCAACACCGGCCTCAGAGCGCCCAGGGGTGACCTTGCCAATGTGCCTTCTGGAGTCACCTTCAGACATACATACAAAATAAACTATTTTGTCGCTCCGTTCCTTTGACTTGGCTCATCATCACTCAGCCTTCAGGAGGAGAAAGCTCTGCATCATGGAGACCGTTCTAGTTCCTGAGTTCCTGCAGTGGAAGGCACAGCTGGCCCGGAGGGAGGGCGAGGGGGGCAGCCTGCCCTGTGCCCTCAGAAGCCCATGCGAGGCTTCTTCCGTTGGGGCTGAGCACCAGAGGGGACAGGTGTGTGCTGCTGGGAGGGGGTGGTCCGAATGCTGGAAGCCTGGGAGAGGATTGTGGCAGGATGTCCTGGAGAATCCCTTTGGAGTGGCAGCTTGGTCACATGGTTCTGGAAATCATGCTGCTGGGAGGGGGTGGCCTGGATGGGTGGGGTGGCGGTACATGCTGGGGTGTCCGTGTGGAGGGGCAGCTTGGCCATGTAGTCTTGGAGGGTTTTCCGCCGCTCTGGGGGGATGCCCGGAGCCCACACATCTGCACCCAGGTCCTGGGAGGGTGGGGTCGCTGGGGGCCGAGGCCTGGACTTAGCAGATGTCTGCTCTGGGCTGTGAGGCGGGCTGGTGGCATCCAAGACGTCTAAGCGGCCACTGAGCGAGGAGAAGGTGCTGGACAGCTGAGTCCGGCGCTTGGGCCGCTTGAGCTGTTTCCTAGCATCCGAGGTCCTTCCCTGCCGCTGCTCCCACCAGGCAGCCCCTCGGCCCTCCCAGGCTTCCCCAAGACGTTCACTGAGCTCATCCTCCGGGACTGACTCAGGTGCGGGAGGTGGCTCTGCCGTGGGGAGGGGGCCCAGGTCCCTCTGCAGCAGGAGTTGCCCTTTGGCCATGGCCTCCCGCAGAGCCTCTGGCACTTTCCCGCCACGCTTCTCCAGTTCCACATGGCCCAGCTGCTGGCGGTGGGAAAAGGTGGGTGCAACCCACACGGGGGGATCCGGGGGCACCTCCAGCAGGACCTTGAGCCACTGGCTGCAGCAGGCAGTGTCCTGAGGGGTCCAGGAGACTGTGGGGGCAGGGCAGTCAGGCCGGGGATCACCAGGAGGCCCGGGGTCGCCAGGAGGCCCAGCATCTCTGCAGACGCTGGAGTCTGCCTGCAGCCGGAGGTCCTGGTAGAAGATGTCTCCAGCCGCTGTGAGCTGGAAGAGCACCAGGCCCGGCGTAGAGGCCGAGGGCGGGATGGCGGTGGCCAGACCTGGAGACGGGAATGACCATGCTCTGCAAGGCCTGCAGGGTGGAGGGGAACTCTCCCACCACAGCCCCCCTGCCCCTCCCCCCAGCTTGCTCCCCTGCCTCAGCTCACCGATGGTTGGCGCTTTCAGACGCTCCTCCAGCTGCCACTGGCTCTTGGGCTCCAGCAGGGGAAATGCAGAGAGGGAGTCGGTCCTGCAGGGAAGAGCCTGGGGGGGCCCGGCCAGCCGGGGCGAGGACGCTGCACCTCCTGAGGAAGGACAGGTGGCTGAGGCCAGGCCCGCCCCGCCCATCTCCCCCCACGCCTCCCACCATCGTGGCCCCTCACCTGTGATGGGCAGCAGCTGCAGCTGCCCGCCCTGGCCTGCCAGGAGCAGGGGCTGCGGGCAGCCGGGCCGGGGCGGAGGCAGCAGCTGGGCCAGCAAGGGCGGGGAGGGGAGGCCATGGTTCCACTTCAGCATCGGCACAAGCGGCAGGCGCTCGTCCACCAGGTACAGCGAGAACTGGGGGCCCGAAGAAGCAGGGGCAGGGGGTGGCTGAAACTTGGGAATGAGCTGGGGCCCCACGTGGCTCTCAGGGCGATCAGCCCTTGAGGCTCTCCACCCGCACCTGCCAGCCCCGCCCAGGAGGCTTCTCCTGAGTGGGTGGCGCCATCACCAGGGCTGACCCACGGCGGGAGGGACGGACAGCACAACTGGGACAAGGGTTCTCAGAAGGGGTGTGGAGGCTCGTCACACAGGAGCCCGCCTGGCTTTCCCGTGCCACCCCACACTCTCCTGGCCTGGGCCTAAGACACTACCAGCATCCGGGTCTTCTTCCCGCTCCCGAACACTTGGCAGGAGCTGTCTAGCTTTGTGTGTGTCCCCTGGCCTCGCTGATGCCTCTCCCCACCTGCTCCATCCCCAGTTACACCTCAAGTCCTGCTAAGATGTCACCTCCCAGGGAGGCCTTCCCCGCCCACCAGGCAGCACTGGCTGCAGAACTCTGTAGAACTCACGTCTGGCATGAGTGCTACGTGCCAGATGCAGATGCATGCGGAGGTTGAGCCTGGTTTCGCCCGCAGGTGGCCAGGTGCAGCAGAGGGCTGAGCCAGGGCAAACAGCAGGCTCAAGTGCACGTCTGCAACAGACCCTGGGTGGGGGTGGCTCACCTGGGTACAGATGAGATGGAGGGTGGGGGGCAGAGACTCGGGGCTGGACTGCCCCAGGTACTGTGTGAGCAGGATCCGTTCCCCTTTCTGGCACGACGCCTCCGCCCCCCCACGGAACAGCAGCAGGCCGCAGCCCGGCGGGCCCTGGAGGAGAAGCACAGCGTCAGCCCTCCCCACGGCCCCAGGCCTGTGCCACGGTCCTTGCCCCGGCCACTCTCAGCCCGGGTCTCCTGCCCCCCACCCCCATACCTGAGTGTCAACCATCTTCACTCCAGTGCGGTCCCCCACGGTCAGTACCCGAGGGTGGGCGGTGAAGTCCGCCCAGCGCCAGGGAGATGGGTCCCGGAACACAAGGGTGTCGGGGTCTCTGTAGACTTGCTGCAGCCTTGGGGAGAGGTGCAAGCCATGGTTTGGGAGGGGGGTAGGCTGCAGGGGAGGGTCGAGGGGTCCAGACACGCTAAACAGGAGAAGAGGCATTACCCGTCCTCAGGGGTCCACAGACAGACGGCTCCCGATCGGCTGCAGACGGCCAGCTCCCCGGGCAGATGAGGGCTACGGGCACGAGTGTGATTAACCTCGGGCTACCTGTCCCTTCTCGCAGACCCACCTCCTTGTCACCAGCACGACTCACTCTGCTCACCTGAGACTGATCCCTGTGGCCCCCTTCTCGACCTGCAGCACCTGCAGCAGGGCCGGCTGCTGCCCCGGTTTCCTGACCTTCCACACGGCACAGTGGTAGTCAGCACGCACAGCCAGCATGGCTGCCAGAGGAAGGAGAGGGAAAGGGTCAGGGGTCAGGGGTCAGGCAGCAGGTCAGCCAGGCAGGGAGGGAGCTAAGGGCCTTACCTTCGCCCTGAACAGTGGAGGTTGCCACCTGCCGCACAGGTCCCCGGAGGTGGATGCGTCCAGGACACCCAGGGACTTCAAGGTTGCCGTCCGGGGTCAGCTTGACCTCTTGGAAACCTGGGCCTTTTGCTAAGGATCAGGGCAGGAGCCAGGCCCCTAAATTTCTACCTTTCCCCTGGGCCACCCTGACACCCTCTCCTCCACCAGAGGGGGCCTGCTGGGACCTCCTGCGCAGCTAGGAAGGATACACAGCGTGTCCAGGGTGCCTCCCCCAGGGTAGACCAGCTGCCCGGCCTGGGGCGTCCTGCCAGGCACCCAGGCCAAGGCGCCCCCGGTGCAGGCCTCGTCCAGGAGCAGCCGCTCCCACTGCGCCGCCAGCTCCTCGCGCAGCAGCTCTGCCAAGAGGTTCGCCACCGACTTGCCCAGGATGGGGCCCCCGAGGACGGAGAACCGGCGCTGCCGGCGGGTGATGTAAGCCCAGGGACACCTGGGGACCAGAGGGCAGCAGGAGGCTCACATTGTGTGGGTGACGGGGGAGGAGAATTGGGTCCCATCTCGAGAAAGGCCAGGTGTGCAGCGCACACATTTTCTATCTACCTAGAATGTCTGCCTTTGGGAAACCACCCACTCTGCTCCTAGGGCCCAGGGCCAGGGCGGTCATATGACCCAGACCTGGCCATCAAGAGTACTCCACTGTCCCTGCCAGTGACCCAAGCCGAGCCAACCAAAGTCCTCTCTGGGACTTCGGGTGCCTCAGGAAGAACCCTGACTCCTCCCTTGGAATCGTAAGCCATCCTGTTGCCACTTGAAAGCGGCATGTCCAGGAATTAAGCCAGGCAGAGGGAAGTGGATGAGAAAATACAGACAGAGCCCTATTAACATTAGTTGAACACCTAGATACAGCTATTCCTGCAGTCCACAATTTTCCATTTTTTTTTCCCTGAGGCTAGTTGGAGTGGGAAGCTCTGTATAAGGAAGTGTGTGGCTCTTGACCACATGGGGTGGGGGAAGCGACTGTGCTGACAACTTGGGGGCCCGTCCCAGCTACCTCCCGTCACCAACTAGGCCTATCCTCCTCGTCCTTTCTCACTAGCCACTTGCCCCCAGGGCTGGTGTCCACCGAGGTTCTTGAACAGGGTCTTCACACTGATCACTGTCTTCTTCTTACTGCGGCTCTGCATAGAAAGGCCTTGTCAAGCTTGCACTCCCGAGGGTTCACCCCTGCAGGGAAGCAGGGAGTCCCTGCCCCTGGCGAGCCAGGGCTTACTCACCCTTGCTCCCTCCAGTTTGAAGTTCTCCAGCATCAGCTTCCCCAGGGGTGCGAAGGCTATTTCCCCGTGGTCCCACAGGAACCGGCTGAGCTGCGGAGGGAAAATGGCCAGGTCACTAAGCACAGCCGCCAGGCCACGCAGCACTGTCCGCCGTGGGCCCACTCACTTGCTCAGTGACGTCCAGCACGACGCGGGGCTGCTTCCGGTACCGGTACCCTCCGCGGAAAAGCAGGTCCTGGGCAGTCAAGCCAGGGTCCCAGGGATCTGAGAAAGAAGGGGATCATGGAAAGGACTGGGAAGGGCACAGAGCAGGGCCAGGTGTCCCCGGGCCCTGTGTGAGCAGAGCCCATCGGCAGGGAAGCCATGCTCTCAGGAGGCGGAGGGGAGCGAGCCCAGAGGGAGGGGACCTTACCGGGGGCAGGACGCAGCAAGGGGAGGGGCCCAGGGGTCACTGGCTCCCACACCAGGTCCTTGGCCAAGTCTGGAGCCCCATTCTGAAGGGAACATAACCACAACGACAGTATTACAGTGAGGCAGTCCCTGGGTCAGGCACCCTGCCAGCACTTGTCTTTCACGAACTCACCCAATCTTCAGAACAACCCTGCAAAGTTGCTGCAAGTGTAGTTGTCATTTTACTAATGAAGGAACTGAGGCACAGGGAGGCTGTCACTTGCCCCAGATGACAGAGCCAGTGAAGAGCAGAGCTGTGATTTGAACCTAGGCAGCCTGACTCCACAGTTTGTGTCTTTGACCTCCACCTCCACTGGCTCTCGGAGGAGGAAGCCCCCTATGCCACTGATGGCTGACCTGCACCCCACTCAATCCTCATATCACTCAGGAGGCCGCCCCACCTCCCATTGCTGTGCTGGCTTGAGACATCTCAGCTCAAACACTCAGGTACAAAGGAGCCAGCAGGCTAGACTCCCAGAGGAGTGCCAATTTGATGTTAAACCCTCCCTTGTCAAGGAGGCCATCCCTGAACCCCATTCCCCAAGACCCCACCCTGCTGTCTCTTTTTATTTGTGAATCTGCCAGCCTTCATCCTGAGCCTAGCTGTCTTTGAGTGGCAGGCAGATGGCTTAGGATTCCAAGGAAAGAGCCAGGGTGCTCCTTGAGGCACCAGCAGAAGTCCTGGGAGGTCCCCCTCCCCTCCCCCAATCCACAGGCTGTTTCAGCATCCTTTTCATTTCACTCAAAGGTAAGATCACACTTGGTAATTATTTCATCCACCTGTCTGTTCATCTGTTTACTCCGCACAGCCTCTCAGTTCCAGGAGGGTAGGGGTCCACTGAGGTCTAGTAGGGGCCTGTGAGTAAACCCCCTATGGATGGCAGGGTGTTCTACATACCCCAACGGAGGGAATTCTGGCTCAGCCAGTGTCTTTGCATATTTATGCTAATGCCACCCTCTGTATCCTTGCCAACCGGTCTGAGCGTTACACAAGGGGACCAAATGAAAAGGCCCAGCCTGGAGCTGCTGGGGTCCCTCCTCACCTCAGAGTTCTGGGGCTGGTACTCTGGCAGGGTCAACAGGTCTCTCCAGCTGGACATAAAGGACAGGTCAGGGACATCGCTCAGGCCCAGGGGGCCAGTGGTGAACAACGTGGGACGGAGGGAGCTGGGGAAGTCCATCCTGGAAGACAAGGACCAAATGTCCCACTGGCCTCCTAAAGCGAACTGAATCTGACGGCTTCCAGGGTTCCTGGGGAGAGTAAAAAGTACACTAAGAGAATATACTTTCTTTGAGGAAGCAGATGATAAGAAAGAAGTGAATATGTAGCCTAAAGTCAAGTAGTAATAGTAATAAGTACTAGATTAAAACCAGCCACCCATGCATGACAGAGGGGATGGTGACGGGTGAGGGTGCGGTTTCAGCGATGGCAGCCAGGGAAAGCCTTGTTGAAAAGGTGGCATTTGAGTACAGCTTGGGGGCGGGGGAGTGGAGAGAGCCATACATGCAACTGGGAAGAGGGGTTCCAGGTAGAACAGTCAGCGAGCGTAAAAGTCTTGGAGCAGAAAAGTGTTTGTGAAACAACTAGGTGGCCAGGGAGTGAACAGTGAGGAGGGTGGTAGACAAAGTCAGATAGGTCAGCTTCTCTCCCAGCTCATAAACACTGCCATTGTTCTCCTAGACTACACTCCCAAGATGAAGCCCTAGTTCCTTCATAGCCAGGAATTGAGTCTCACTCATCTTCTTACAGTCAAGCACCGTGCCTCCCAGAAAATGCACTGTGTTGAGTAAAAATAAATTTGTATCAAAGGCCTTTGGCAAATGCAAAGTCTTCTAGCAGTATAAGAAGTATGATACCATATTATACTTTTTTTAATCAACAAAAATAATAATAGCACTCACCAAGTGCCAGCATCTGCCAGATGTGATGTTAAATGCTTTATTTACTCTTCTATCGCCCCTATTTTGGAGTTCAGGAAACTAAGGCTCAGGAAAGAGTAACCTGCTCACGTCCAGCAGCTTGTAACTGCCAGAGCCAAGGCTTGATCCTCATCAATTCGGAGTTGGAGCCCTGAGCCACTGTTCTACTGTACATCCAAAAGCAAACACTAGCAATAGAGTCTTACTAAGCAAAAATGGAATGTACGCTGCATTTCATCAGTTCATTCTGTAACCCCCGTACACGTGTGCACTCTCGGCACTAAGCCCACTGCCTGTCGCACAGTTCTGGTAACAATTTGTCAAATGAATGAATAACATGTTCCTCAAGGTATGAAGCAGTGTCGTTCTAATTGTGGTTTATCTGTACACCCTGATTTCCTTCACTCGACTGTGAGCTGTCTGAGGGCAGGGACTGCATCTGATTCATTGTTGAATCCCTGTGACTGGCTGCTGCTTTCTTTTTCTTTTCCATGACAGTTCTAGAACAGTGGCAAGGATGGAGAGAGTGCTCCGTGAATCCTTGTGAAAACCATGGCTTTTGTAGGGCTGACTGCACTGATTGCAGCTGAGGAGCATCCAAGCCTCCCACAGGTGGCTGCATCCCTGATAAATCAACACATGCACAAAGTCTCCAGCTCATCTCCGGTGCCCCGGCTCCAAACTGACCGACTTTGGGTTCTTGCTCACCATGCTTCTCACCACAGGACCTATGCACATAATTTCTCCGCTTAGGAAGAGCCCAAACGCCCTCTCTTTCCTCCTACAAAATCCTTTAGATTGAGTCAAGGAAGCTTCTCCCAGTGCCCCCAACCCTACCCTCCCAGAACCCTGCAGAGCAGGCACACTAAGCTCGATTAGATACTTCAGGACGAAACCGTCTGACTCAAAAACCTCTCTAAGAGGCAAAGGAATAAGGACAAGAACTTTATAATTCCCAGGAGCTTGGGTATTACCACAATGGTAACAATCAATACACATAAATAAATACATCTAGGGAAAGAACAAATCTTTGAATCAATGAATGAATGAGAGGAGAAAAAAGAACGAAACAGCCCGAAGCCAGCGGAGAAGCCCTCAGACAAGGCAGCCTCGACTTCCCCTGGCCGGCTTCCCGCCCTCGCTGTAGGCTCCCCAGGCCCCTTTCGACCTCCGAGGCTGCAGAACTCAGTCGGGCCCGCACCGATGCCAGGCCGGGGACGGCAAACAGTGGGGCTGTCGCAGAGGATGGGAGCCCCAGGAGGTCCCTCCCCTCGGTTATCCGCACCCCGAATAGCCCCGGGTGGGCGCGCGGAACTACGCATGCACTTACGCAGCCCGGGCCTCGTCGAGCTCATCTGGAAAACGCGCCTCGGACTGCCGCTCGCCGGACCCTCGCACCACGAGGGCGACCCGAAGATGCACTCGGGCTCCAGCGCTGGGGACCGGAAAACCTCCACACAGCTGCAGCTAACGGGTTTCCGGGTCTGGCCGGAAGTACTACCTCCGAGGCAGGAAGTCCCTCCTCCCAGCCTGGCCTCGCGCGCGTCCTGGAGCGCCCCCTCCTGGGCAAATGGGGAACGGGCCTGCAGGCGGCGCGTGGGCAGCAGAAATAAAGCCCCAGTTAAGTCCTAACAGCAGATGCTGGGCGCACCTGGGCTCAAATCCCTCATCTGCTTGCTGCATCAACTTCCTATCTCATAGGGTTGTTGGGGTATTAAATTAATCACTCAACAAACACTTACCGAGCACCTACTATGAACCAGGCTCTGTATCAGTCAGTAGGCGTCCCTATGGATTGTCCTTAAATCCTAAGAAGCAGGCTTTACAAGTAAGGGTGCAAAATATCCCTGGGAGTATGGGAGGCTGTTCCAGGGGTGGTCAGGCAAGGATAGCTTTAAGCTGTGATTCTCAAGCTCTAGCGAGCATCAGCAGCACCTAGAGAGCATGTTAAAACACGGTTTCTGATTTGGTGAGTTTGGGGTGGGGCCTGATAATCTGCCTTTCTAAGTTCCCAGGCGATGGTGAGCGTGCTTAAGTGGGAGTTGGGCTTAAAAGAACCCTGTGCAATGATACATCTTACCACTGTCCTGGCCCAGTGGTCCTCAAACTTGAGTGTGACTTGGAGGGCTCGTTAAAATAGCAGTTCGCAGGGCCCCATCTCCAGAGTTTCTGATTCAGTAGATCTGGGATGTGACCCAAGAATGTGCATTTCTGACCCATTCCCAGGTGATGCTGCTGCTGCTCCAGGGACCATACTTTGAGGACCACTGCTTTAAAGAATCAATTTCCAGCCAGGCGCAGTGGCTCACACCTGTAATCCTAGCACTCTGGGGAGCTGAGGGCGGCCATCACTCGGAGGTCAGGAGTTCGAAACCAGCCTGAGCAAGAGTGAGACCCCCGTCTCTACTATAAATAGAAAGAAATTAATGGGCCAACTAATATACATACAAAAATGAGCCGGGGCATGGTGGGCGCCATGCCTGTAGCCCCAGCTACATCGGGAGGCTGAACAGGGGGATCGCTTGAGCCAGGAGTTTGAGGTTGCTGTGAGCTAGGCTGACGCCACGGCACTCACTCTAGCCTGGGCAACAAAGGGACTCTGTCTCAAAAAAAAAAAAAGATAATGAGGTCTGAATCAGAGACCAGCCACTGGACATAGATTTGTTGTGTCTTGCATACGCTTAGGCTGTTAATGGGTTACAAAGGATGTCTCCAAGAAGGGAGGGGGCATGATGAGCCATGTCTGACCTCCCTCCTCTGGCAGACAATTTAATTTAGGATATTCCTTTGGCCATGGAGGGGTCCATTCAGTCAGCTGGTGTGTGTGTGTGTGGGTGAGCTGAAAATTTATTTTAGTTCACACTCCCTTCCTTCCCTTCCCTTTCTTCCTTTCCTTCCTTCCTTTCTTTTTTACACACAGGGTTTCACTCTTTAGCCCAGGCTGGAATTCTAGGCTCAAGCAATCCTCTGGGCTGTTTAAAAATTTGTGTTTTGGTAACGAAGGGTTCTCGCTGTGCTGCCCAGGCTGGTCTTGAACTGCTGGCCTCAAGCGATCCTCCCACCTGGGCCTCCCAAAGTGTGCTAGGATTACAGGCATGAGCCACTGCACATGGCCCCATCTCTCTTTTTATTTTTTATTTTTTTTTTGAGACAGAGTCTCGCTTTGTTGCCCAGGCTAGAGTGCCATGGCGTCAGCCAAGCTCACAGCAACCTCAAACTCCTGGGCTCAAGCAATCCTCCTGCCTCAGCCCTCCCGAGTAGCTGGGACTACAGGCATGCGCCACCTATGCCCAGCTAATTTTTCTATATATATTAGTTGGCAATTAATTATTTCTATTTATAGTAGAGCACGGGTCTCGCTCATTGCTCAGGGTGGTTTGAACTCCTGACCTTGAGCAATCCGCCCGCCTCGGCCTCCCAGAGTGCTAGGATTACAGGCGTGAGCCACCGCGCCCGGCCTCTCTTTTTATAGTTACTCTTTTCCCACTACGGAGCACTGCCCTAGGATAAGCCTAAACAAGAGGATGATTCCAAAAACAGCAGACTCCTATAGGAAGAGCGCATATGACTAAGAAAAACAGTGTCAGTAAGAATAATGATGAAAGGGAACACGAGGGAGGCTTTTGGGAACTGGCAATGTTTCTTCACAAGTGCTGGTTACTTGGGTGTGTTCAGTGTTGTGAAAATTCACTGACTTGTGCACTTTTTGCTTATGTATGTTATACTTCAACAAAGATCCTTTTAAAAGAAAAAAAAAAGAAGAAAATACGATTGGCTGTGATGCTTTATCTCCTCAAGACTTCAAACTCTTGGTTAGGCTACGTGCCTTCTTAGCTATCTACTTTAGAAATAAAATTCAGAAGTCAGGAATTCTTCTATCCGAGTCAGTCCCTGATGTATTCCAAACAACTAGAAGAGTAAATGCTTGATACATATTGAGTCAATGAAAGAAGGAATGAAATGAGATGGTTCTTCTGGGAAAATATCGATACATTTGCTTAAATTGAAAAATGAAGTCAGACTGTTCCTGATAGGAAGTAAGTCTGATTTAGCTGATTGGTTTGACCGTGAGGACGCGCTTTGCCAAAGAGGTCATGTGAGGTACACTTTTCATAAACAGAATGAGTGAAGCCTGCATCTCTAAGGTTTTGGTGAAAATATGCTTCACCACACACACAAAAATGGAATTGTCCTTCTCGATGCCATCCTTGAAATGTCTGGGAGGTTGAATCCACCCAGCCCACTGCACCTGCCCTTTCCAAGTCAAAGCTTCCAGGTTCCACCAACTGTTCCTTATAACCCCAGCCTCCCCGCTGCCACAATCCTGGTGAGCACGGTCAGGCCCAAGAATAGCAAGCTGCAGCCGCGACAGCTCCCACGACAAGCCTTACAGCCGACGTGGACCGAGAAACTGGCCCCCTGTAAGGCTCAGAGGCCCCCTTAGAGCAAGTACGCGCCAAGCATCAGAGCAGGCCTCATGTAAAGCGGCCTCATCCGGCCCCTCACAGCACCGCTGTCCGGTGGGATCCATCCATATGGGCCAACTCAAAATCCCTCGGGCGTGGGGTGGGGAGTAGGCAGGGTGCCCCACGGCTCATTCGTGACTCGAGAGCACTTCCGGTTGGCTTCCGGAAAGGCCTTCAAATGAATCTGCGGGGAGGTTACCACGTGAACTTTATGGCACGAGGCTCCATGGGCGTGATGGCCTGTGCTTTGGGTGAGTCCTAGGGAGGGAGTCCCCAGACCCGCTTCCCTGTCTCGTTAGAGCAGGGGCTGATGGGAGCCGCCCCCCAGCGCTAGCGTCTGGGAGACCGGCCTTCCCATTGGCCAGGCGCACTGTCTGCCACAGCTCTGCGTGCTCTCATTGGCCAGCGGCGCTGCGGGGGGGGGGCAGAGCTCACGACGCGCCGTCGGCCGCGTGCTCCCCACGCGGGGCGCCCGCCCCGCGCGTGTAAAAGGACGCGGGCGGCGCGAGATCCCGCCTGGCTGACCCCGCGGCCCTCGCGTCGCGCCATGGCTTCTCCGGCCCGCGCGGCCTCGGGCGCCGACGACGGCGGCCGCAGGAAGCCCCGCCTGGCGGCGTCGCTGCAGATCAGCCCCGGGCCCAGGCCCTGGCGACCGGCGGCCAGTCAGAGCCCAGACGGCTGCGCGGAGGCGGAGGAAGAGCCGGGTGGGCTGCCCCAGGCCTCGGCGCCGGGGGTCGGTGGGCCCGGGGCGGGGGCCGGAGTCGGGGAAGCGGGGGCAGCCCCGGCGCGGGAAGGTTTGGGGGGACTGATGGGGAGGTCCCCGAGGGTCTCCGTGCCCCCCGCAGGGCCCGCCGGGGACTCCCCGACGGCCGCCAGCCCGCTGAGCCTGCAGCTGAAGGACCCGGCCCCGGGCCAGGCGGTGGCCCTGCTGGCGCAGTACGCGGCCCTCCGCGGCGTCCCCCTGGCCTTCCGCGAGGACGAGCCGGCAGGTGAGGCCGGGGCGGGAGTCCGAGGGTCCGAATAAGCCCCGGGATGGAAGGAGGGGCGTCTGGGGCAGGTGGGGCAGGGGTCTCCGGAGAACGGGCGTGAGCTGGACCCAGCCTGGGGCCTGGAGGTGGACCCTGCTGGGAGCCGCGTGTGTTTAGGGGGCGCCACCCACAGCACACATGCAACCGTGGCGGGGTCACAGCGACGTGAATGTTGTTCCTCCAGGGAGGCTGAGGGCCCACGCCACCTGGTATTTCTGTGCGTTTTCTGCAAGGGCCAGTTCCATGCAATGACAGCTGCCAGGCCAGCATTGCCGACACCTGAGTGAGGGCCAATTCCCTGACTTAGAGACATTATTAAACAGCTTGGTAAGGGCAATGCTGTCTATACACACCATACAAAGGTATTATACGATCATTACTGTTTCCTTTGCTCGCTCGTCAGTACATGCCTTCAAACCCCGGACTCAAACAGTTTTAATTTGAAAGCTAATTGCAGACGTCGTTGTCCTTATCCCTAAACACTTCAGTGTGTACTTTTCAAGAACAAGGTCATGTCATATAAGACAATTGTCATACTGGAAACTTAACATTGATATAACACTATCATCTAATTACTATTGACGTTCAGATTTTACCACGTCCCAGTAATGCCCCCCCCCCCATGGCCCAAGACGACTGTCACACCTCTTTAATCTCCTTTTATTTCAAACTATTCCTGCCTGCCCTTGTCTTGCACAACATCGATGTTTTTGAAGAGTAAGGGCCAGTCGTTTTGTAAACGTCCTTCGACTTGGGTTTGGCTGTTTCCCTGGGACTGGGCTCAGGCTCTACGTTACCCAGGTGATGTCCAGTCCGTGTGTGATGCGGAAGTCAGGAAGCATGTGATCTGCTTGTCGTTTGGGGATCTTAGTTAGCTGTGAGGGCTTGGCTAGACATCTGCCAGGTGTCTTTGCTTTCCCCTTTGTGCTCCATGAGTCATCTGAGGGGAGACATTTGGAGATCGTGGAAATACCCTGTCCCCCTGTCACCGTCGCCTCACGGTTTTAGTGAATCATCCATTGATTGGCGATACTTCCCAGACCCGGTTACTGCTGCGATGGCTGCTGTGGGGGGGGTTTCTGGCGCCTATAGTTGCTGGTCTCGACGCCCTTTTAAAGTAGATGAATCTCGGTGCTAGTGAGGAATGCTAAAATAGATTCCTTTGTACTAAGGCAGTCGCTTTGAGAATTTAGTCTCGAGGACTGTGAACTTAAATGCGTTTGTACCCTTTGGCCAAGAAATCCCAGTTCTAAGGTTTTCACTTGTTTCTTTTCTGTTACAGGTAATACCCAAAGTAATGATAGCGTTTGATACATTTTTTTTTTTCAAATATAAAGTGATGTGCCTGGTGCCAGGCAGGAGGCCCTCATCCTGAGGACAGGGTAGCATGGACACTGCCCACCCTCTGTGCCTCCGCTGTGAAAGTGTAGTCATCCGTAGCTATTTTGGAGGAGTTTGCTGAGGGCTCAGTTGGGTTTCTGGTGGGGCACGGCACGCAGAGGCACCGTGCCATGCCTGGTGCGGGTGGAGCCCACGGTTACGGAAGGGCGGTTAGGGTCTCTTTATTCTGGTTGTCCTTGATGTCAGGTAGGAACACAGACGAGAACTACTGTGGCTTGGGCAGGGGCCGGGGGGCTAGGTGTGGAACCCTTCTCCTAAAAAGGGCCCACGTAGGGCTCTTCTGTCACCTGCCTCCTTCCCCAGGTCCCTGTTCCCCCTTCTCTGTGTACGTGGAGCTGGATGGGGTGGTCTGCCCTGCCGGCACTTCAAACAGCAAGGCCGTCGCCAAGCAGCAGGCGGCCCTGTCTGCGCTCTGCTACATCCGCAGCCAGCTGGAGGGCACAGGTAACGGAGCGCCAGGTGAGTGAGCCCTAGCTGGGCACAGAGGCCCGAGATTGGCAGTCCTCCTGGGAAGCTGAGGTGGCTGTGTGTGTGTGTGTGTGTGTGTGTGTGTAAGGGGTAGGTCATGGCAAGGACCATGTGGGCCCTGCTCTCATGTCCTTGAAGTCGCACCCACACTGGACAGGGACCACCAAAGGGAGCAGCTCGTGGAGCTTTCTGTGTCTGGAAGATGAAAACGCCCCCTCTTGTCCTCCTTGGGTTCCTGGAGGACGGAAGGGTAGACCGTGCACTCGTGGCAACCGGCCCCCCGTGCCTCTCTTCCAGACACCCCCCAGACCCCCAGCAGGATTCCACTTGCTTCCCTGAGTGTAGGTAGGTGGGCTCTTGGTGACCCTAACCCTGGTGTCAAAGGGAAAGGCCTGGCCTGTGGGGTCCCCACCTGTACCCCCTTGCCCCTGCGCAGAGAACATCCTGACCCACGAGCAGCGCTGCGCGGCTGTGGTGGGGGCCGGCTTCGACCGCCTGCTGGACGAGAGCTCGCCCTACCGGGCCTGTAAGGGGACTGTGGCTGCAGTCATCCTGGAGAGGGGTAGGGATCGCCCCAGCCCCTCGCCCCTTGGCAGGCCTCCCCTGGGTCCTTTGCCTTAGGCTGGCCGTCTCCACCCTTCCCTGCACAGAGATCCCGGGTGCCAAGGGCTACGCCAAGGAGACCTACGAGCTGGTGGCGCTGGGCACAGGCAGCAGCAGCTGTGCCGGCTGGCTGGAGTTCTCGGGCCGGCAGCTCCATGACTGCCATGGGCTGGTTGTCGCCCGCCGGGCCCTGCTGAGGTGAGGGGCAGGTGGGGTGGGCATTCTGCTGTAGCTCCTGTCGGCACGTGGCAGCCCCAACTGTCCTCTGCCTGTCACTCCCAGGTTCTTGTTCCGGCAGCTCCTGTTGGCCACGCAGGGGGGCCCCAAAGGCAAGGAGCGGTCCGTGCTGGCCCCCCAGACTGGGCCCGGGCCCCCCTTCGCCCTCAAGCCTGGGATCTTCCTGCACCTCTATGTCAGCAACACCCCCAAGGGAGCAGCCCACGACATCTAGTATGTGGGCCGAAGGTCCCTTGGGTGGGCTGCTGGGTAGGGGTGGGGTCAGAAGAGCACCCTGACCCCAGTGTTCTTGTCTCCCCCCGCCCGGCAGCCTGCCCCGGGCCTCGGAAGGGAGCCTGTCACACGGCCCGGCCTTGCGCCTGCAGGCCCACGTCGGCGGGCAGCTGAAGCCTGTGTGCTACGTGGCACCCGCGCTCCACGACACCCACGTCGGTTGCCTCTCGGCCAGCGACAAGCTGGCACGCTGGGCGGTGCTGGGGCTGGGTGGCGCCCTGCTGGCTCACTTCTTGCCGCCGCTCTATGGCACCAGCCTCGTCCTAGGTGAGGCTCTGGTGTGGGCCTAGGGCGGGCTCTGGGTGGGCTGGGAGAGTGTGGAGGTGGCTCAGCTTGTCCTGTGCCTTCTGCCCCTTAGCTGACCCCTGCCACGACCCCTCGACTCTGAGCAGGGCCATCCACAACCGGCCCGACCTGGACAGGGTCTCGGGGCCGGGCCTGCCCCCTCCCTACGTCCGCACCACTCTGCACCTGTTCTCGGGGCCCCCGGTGGCCCCCTCGGAGCCCACCCCCAACACCTGCCACGGCCTGAGCCTCAACTGGAGCCTGGGCGACCCTCACGTTGAGGTCGTGGACGTGGCCACCGGGCGTGTGAAGTCCAAGTGAGAAGGGCCCCTGGGGCTGGGCCGAGGGGGCCCGTCTCCCTGCAGTGGGGTGAGAGCACGCGAGAGTCGCTGTCCCTGTTCTGACCCCAGCTCAGCCACTCACCGGCTCCACAGCAGCGGCTGGCGTCTGCACGTACCCTGTGATTCCCACAGACGGTCACGGCGTGGGGGGAGGTGGTGGGAAGGGTGTGGGCAGGCCTGCCCTCCATGGCATCTTCTCTTCACCCAGCGCCGCCCTGGGGCCGCCGTCCCGCCTCTGTAAGGCCGCCTTTCTCCGGGCCTTTCGCCAGGCCGCGCAAGTCGCGGGCGAGCCCCACCTCTCGGCCTTGCAGACCTACGAGGCTGCCAAGGTCAGTCCCTTCCTGTCCAGTCCCCTTCCTCTGGGTTCTCCTGCACCCCTCCCCCGCCCCCAGCAACCACCCTCTCTCACCCCTGCACCACCCCTTGTCACCTCTGTCACCCCCTGTTGCCCCCTCTCACCCCACCTCTTGTCTCCTGCTGCAGGCCGGGCCGTACCAGGAGGCTCGCCGGCAGCTGTCCCTTCTCCTTGACCAGCAGGGCCTGGGTGCTTGGCCCTCAAAGCCACTGCTGGGCAAATTCAGAAACTGAGGCAGACCTCTGGTGGGGGGGCAAGGTTCCTGAGCTGAGCTGGACCGCTGCTGGGGCGGCGCCTTCTCTGAGGGTGTGGGGAGGGGTGCGGGCTGCGGGCAGAGCACAGGTGTGTGCAGAGGGAAGCTGGCATTGGAGGGAGGGGCCTAGTGTGTTTGGCGGGGGTGGGGTGGCGGCTGCTGCATATTTGGGCTTGAATAAAGCAGCATTTCTGGTGCTTCTGTGTGTAGCTGGCCGCGTGTGCGCATGTCCGTGCGCGCCTATGCTGGGGGTAGCCAGGCACCCTTGGCGAGGGGAGCCCCGTGATCCCTGGGCTGTCACCTGGGTCCTTTCCTCGCAGAGTTACTAAATTGTTGCCCCCGTTTACAGGTGTGGGAGCAGGTTTGGGAGGGGAGGTGACTTTCCTTGGCTCCTGCTTTCCGGCCTGTGTTCTGGGGAGGCCACAGGGTGGGCGTTGGGCATTTCTGCCCCGCTGGCTGCAGAGGCTCCGGATCCCTGCTTTGCAGGCCTGCGCCAACCTGAGGGAAGCAGCAGGGGCTCCTGGGGTCCGCAGTCGCTGGCCGGGGCCCTCAGCTGTCCCGGCCTGCCAGAGCCGCCTTCCCTCACTGTGCCACCTCCCAGGTGCAGGCTTGGTGGCTCTCCCCCCTCGTCTGGGTAGCACAGTGAGCCCGCAGGGCAGTTGGGCCCTCTGTGGACCATGGATGGGAGGGCAGACAGCATACACCGCAGATGTGCACGCGTCTACACACCTGGAACCTCACTGGCCTTGACGTCTGGTGAGCTGGGACCAGGGATGATTGAGGACCACGGGCTGCCCCGTGACCCCCACCCTATGACTGATCTCCCTGCACCCCAGCAGTTCCAGGGTTTGGAACCATAGGCAGCTCTCCCAGATGGGCCTCAGGGTGCTGGTCAAAGATGGTGTGAGGGTTAACGTTATGTGTCAGCTTGTTTTGGGCTAAGGGATGCCCAGATAGTGGGTGACTTTGTTTCTGGAAGAGAGGAGCTTTTGCATCAGTGGGCTGAGCAAAGGAGCCCACCCTCCCCAAGGTGGGCCGGCACCACCCCATCCACTGAGGGCTCAGGGAGAACACAGAGGCAGAGGAAGGGGAAGTTCTCTCTCTTCTTGAGCTGGGACATCCATCTGCTCTGGCCCTTGGACCTCAGAGTTCCTGGTTCTCCAGCCTTCAGGCTCTGGCCAGGATTTACACCACTGGTGCCCCGGGTCTCAGGCCTTCAGGTTTGAGCGGGAACCACGCCACTGGCTTCCTCAGGCTGCCACTGTGGGGGTCCTACACCTCTGTAATGGAGTGAATAAATCTCTGTCTGTCTGTCGTATGTGTCCTGTTGGTTCTGTTTCTCCGGAGAACCCTGACCAATACACCTGGCTCCCTCCAGAGCTGCCATGCAGGCCGGTGCCGAAGCCGTGAGACTGGGTCGTCTCCCTGCAGCCTGTCTCTCTGCCACTGGGCGCGTGGTGTGGCCAGCCACTGCCCTCTGTGCCCAGGTTCCTCCCGTCCACAGACACACCCGGAGGGCTGCGCGAGGGATCTGTGCCTGCCAGCCCGCCCGCTGCAGGCCACTGGGCCCCTGCTCCCCTCCCACTGCGAGGATGACACGGGAGACCCAAGGGACACAGGAGTAGAGGAGACGCACCAGCTGGGCGTGGGAGGGCTCCAGCAGGCCCTGGCCCGAGGCTCTGCGTGAGCTGCTCCGTTCGAGCCTCCCGCTGGCTCTGCAGGATAGATGTCGTCATTGGCCCATTGTACGCGTCAGGAAAGGGCAAGGTGAAGTTGGGTGGCTTCTAGGCGAGCACACAGCCGCAGCCCGACTTCCGAGCTCTTCTGTCGGGCGGCACCCAGAGCTGCGCTGGATTTCCTTACGTGGCCTTGGGTGAAGCTCTCAAGCCCTCTGGGCCCCAGTTGGCTCCTTTATAACCCGAGGGCTGGGTGATACCTTCCCGAAGTTCCCTCTGCTCTGCCCTTCCCTGACTGCCTGGGGGTCGGGAAGACGCCCTCTGCTGGTGAGGGAAAGAGCTGCAGGCCCGCGGGCTTGGGGAGGTGGTGCAGGGCGCTGGGGACATGGGGTGAGGAAGTGGCTAGTAGGGGGGCAAGAGAGGGAAGTCGAGGCAGGAGAAGCTGCCAGAGGCCAGAGAGGGGGGGTTCGGGGGGGGGTTTGAACCAGCAGGGAGGGTCTCAGGCAAGCACTGATCTCTTATTTAACTGAGAAAACAAATAGGTTACTTATCTTGTAAAAACCTCAGGTCAATCTTGAAATAATTATTTCTCATGGTTTTTTTTTTTTTTCAGGGATGGGAGAGGCTTTTCAAAACACCCAAACCTATTAATTAGGCCATTTATTATACATCGTTTTCCCTGGGAGATAATTTAAATTGATTTACTTTTTTGTACCGCAATGGTGACTATAACCAGATGTAGAAATATACCAGCCATTTCAAACTTCCGTTTCATGCAGGGAGCCCTTGGTGTTCATTAATCACATTATCACTGGGTAAACAAGTTCTTCAAAATGACGTTAACTCTGCCGCGTTCTGCCAAACAAGTAATATTTGTCCCCACGTTACATAAATCTGCCTGTCCAGTGCTTTCCTCCCAAGACAGTCACTCGGTTCCCGTGACTCAGCTTATTTATTGCCACGGGCGACGATGGAGCCGCTCTTGAAACGGAGAGCGTTAATGTCGTCTGGGCCTAACCCACGCTGGGCACGGTTTTGCCAACGCTGGCATCCTCCAGTCAGGAGGTGACGTCATCTCACTTGGCACAACTCAAGGCCGCTTCCTGTCACTCCGTCCTCGCTCCCGGTAGCCCCGGGCCCTGGGAGCCTTCGTGGACCCTGGTGTCCTTTGCACGGAGCGGTCCCTGCGTGTCTTCTGCCACCCCCAGGGCAGAGCACCCCGGGCGGAAGCGTGGACCCGGGAGGCCGTGGGGCTGCTCCTCCTGCTTCTCTCTCCTCTTCTTCCTCCTCCTCCTTTCTTGACTGAGATATAATTTACGTGCTATAAAATTCACCCTTACAAAGTGTACGATTCGATCGTTCTTAGTATATTCTCAGAGTGGTGCAATCAGCACCACTATCTAATTCTGGGACATTTGGATCTCCCCAAAAGAAACCCTGGACCAGCCCCCGCCCCCCGCCCCCGCCCCTGACAACCACACACCTGCTCTCTGCCTGTATGGATTCACCTGTTCTAGATGTTTCTTATCAATGGAATCATACAGCTGTGACCTTTGGTGACAGGCTTCCTCCACTTGGGATGTTTTGATGTCCACCCATGATGTAGCGTGTATTAGGATGTAATTCCTTTTTATGGCTAACTCATATTCCGTGGTACGGACAGGCCACCGGCTGTTTACCCATGTAAGTAGGCTTCTAGAAAAACAAATGTCTTAGCTCTGGAATACTGTCGTACACAGATAACTATTACACCTTAACATCGTCTTTGCAGACAGAGGTGGACCCCACGCGGCCCACGTGGGAGCGCCAGCGTGTGACCTGGGGCTTCCGGAAGGCAGTGAGCAGCGCAGGTGATGAGTGCAGAGCGTGGAGCCGGACAGGCCAGGGTTCGATCCTGAATCCACCACTGACAACCAGGTGACCTTGAGATAGTTATCTAAACCCCCTGTGCCTCAGTTTTGTCATCTGTAAAGTGGGATAATAACACCTTCCTCAGAAGGCTGCTGTGCGGACCAGGTGATGCTTGTGAAGTGGCAGGACAGGGCCTGGCACCAGCCAACGCCCGACAGATGCTGCGGTCGCCGCCCCGGGTTGCTGCCCTGCACCCGTTTCCCTCTCTCTTTTGGAACCATGCCCCAGTTTCTTCTGGGAAACCTCAGCCTCCCCATTCCTGACCACCTGGTTTGGGTGGGATTGAACCTGTCTTCTGCTCCAGGGTGAGCCCCGCCCCCACTCACATAAACCAATCAGTGTAGCGACAGGGGTTGGCTGAAGGAGGTACTCATAACCCACCCAGGACTAGTAAGACCCAAGGAAAGCACACGGTTAGGATTCCGTGGAAAAGAGATTTGCTCCTCTCAGACATCTCGGTGGAGTGAGGGTGTGAGACCTGGAGCTTGTGCAGCCACCTTGTGGCCATGAGGAGAGCCTGAGGGTGAAGCGGACATGCCTAGGAAGGCAGGGGGAAGATGCTGGAAATTTAAGCTTATTTGTTTGACATTGATAACATTGGCTGACTCCTGGATTAAGCCACGCCTGGACTCCACCTAGATTATTAGTTAAAGAACTAGTAATTCTTCTGTTTGTTTGTATAGTTCCTTGTTTAATGAATTCTGAGTAGGGTTTCTTGAACTTGGAAACAAATCATTCCTAACTGATATTTGTGGGTGTATTTTAGGAAGTGTTTAGAGCTGTTACCATTGGGATATTGGAATGGGAGTCTGGTATAAGAGTGAAATTCACTTTTGTGCCACAGACCCTTGGCATTTTCCCCTGCGTATATGTTTCTCTGAGTCCCCCCGGGGCTCGAACTCCAGTTGCCCATGGAGTTAGCAGGCCTGGTCACACCTCCCGTAAGTAGGGCCTTCCCTGCCCCGTCTCGCTTCTCTCTCCCCTACTTGTGTGTCCTGGCATCTTCTTCAAGTAAAATGCCTGCGTGCAAATCCTTGTCCCAGGGGCTGCCTCTGGGGGAACCCCAAGATCTTGGAGAACGAAGATGTGCCTCCTCAGTAGCCTGTCCAAATGTGGCCACCACCGTGTGCCCACGTACGGTTCCTCGGCCTCCTTCCTCCCTGGGACGTCTTGTGTACCTCCTTGTGTACCTGTGCCCTGCGGTCCCACCTCCTGCAGGCCTCCGCCCGGGTCCATGCAGGCGCATCCGTCCTGCTTAATTACTACGGGTCTCCACGGTGCTAGAACATCCGGCACGTGGCAGGTACCTAAGAAAAGCTGCCCCAGAAACCATCGCCCCACCCAACTTCTGACTCCCTTCTTGGCGTTGGCCTTGGATGGGTGACCCCTGGCCCCTGCCACCTCCTTTCCAGGGGGATCCTCCTACACCCCCAAGGTCAACCCCAACTTGCTCCAACACACCAGAGAAACCACAGCGTCGCTTCTTAACCTCGTTTAATGTTTGTCTTGGAGTTGCGCGGCCAGGGGAGCCCTGAAAGCTCGGTTAGGCAGGGGCAAGGTGAGAGGGCCGGACTCCCCGAAGGGGATCTAATTTCAGCCTGGCCATTGGCCAGGAACAATGGAAGCCTTTGGAAGCAGCGAGATTGGCTAATTTTAGCTCAGGGCATCCAAATTCATTCTGAGTCGCGTCACATGGAGGCCAGCGCTGCCCCCGGCTTTGTTCCCCTTACTGCGAAGGTGAATTATGAAAGTCACACGGCAGCCGAGCGGCTCAGTCCATGGCTGTCCACGTGTCCTCGGGAAGCAGGTGCGCGGAGGCAGAGCCGGGCTCGGGACGGACAGCTCTGGATTACAAGGAGGCCAAGGGGCCCAAGGGGCCCGCGGGAACGGCAGCTTCCCTTTGTTTTATTTTTAACCGACATTGTATTCCTGGAGGTGTCCCTTGGTTAGATGTCAAATGCGGACCTCGACACCGGACAGAGATGGTGCTGGGTGGGGGGCGGGGGGCTCGGGGCTCGGGGCTGAGAGAGCTCCCAGCTGGGCTTCGGGTCCTGGCCTGGCCAGCCCTGGCCGAGCGGGCCCTCCCTGGGCCCTCCCTGGGCCCTCACACCCACCCCTGTGAAATGGGCAGGATGGAGCTGGTGACCGTCAGGGTCCTTTTAGCTCTCAGACTCTGGTGGACAGGCCACGCCCTGAGCTGGCCAGGTGGAGAGAGATGATGTGCCCTGCGCCGTGGGGACACCTGCAAGGGGGACGTGCTGTCCTGCTCACAGAGGTGGCCCGGGTGGCCTACACGTGCCTGGCCTGCCGGCACAGCCTATCTGCCCGCTGGGGTGGGAGCCAAGCGCGACGGTGATTTTGTTTTTCACTTGCACAACTTTAGGCCAGGCCAGCACTCCCCTGCCAGCGTTTCCTGGGGTCGCCTCCCAGATAGACGACTCGCAGGACGTGGCACCCAGACGTGATGGCCTGAGAGGGACGCGGCCTGGAACGTCCTGGCCGGGAATGCACAGCCTGGATCAAAGCACAAGGAGATATCAGACAAACACGACATGAGGACACCTATTTAAAAGAGTGTGTGTGTGTGCTGTGTTCACCCCTAGCTTCAGTGTCACCTGTGTCAAAGAAAAGCCGTGGGAAAGGTCCAGATGACAGGATGCTAAAGAGACAGGACAAGTAAACCTAACGTCCAATGTATCCGATCCTAGGCTGGACCCCGTACTGGGGGGAAAGGACGAGAGGGATATCATTAGGTCAGCTGGCGACATCGCAACAGACGTTAGACTAGGTGAGAATGCTGCATGGGAGTCAATGGTGCTGAGGCTGCGTGAGAGCGTGTCCGCACGCTCGGGATCCACACGCTGAAGCGTGGAGGGTCTCCCTGCCTCTCCACCCCCAAATGAGGGGATGGATCACTCTGGAGCTTCCTACTCTTTTCGAGCAGGGGGCAGGGGTCAAGGGTTCCTTTGAGAAGCTGATGGAATTGTTGGACACTTAGCACTTTGAAATGCACCTACCCTCCCGAGGTTCATTTGGAGCATCGTGGAGCCTCATGGAAACTTCCAGCTAGGAATCCCTGGGCTGGTGGTGAAGAGCCGCTGGTCACCCCATGCTAGCGTGAAGGGCCGTGGCGTGGGCGCCTTGCTCGCCAAAGGTTCAGGAGGACACACCGTGCATGCACGGCCCAGATACAGACAGAGCAAATGATAAAACAGATGCAGCAAGATGTAAAAAAAAAATTTTTTTAAAGGTGTATTCGGGTGTTCCATGTGCTATTTTTGTTCGTGCAACTTTTTTGTGAGTTTGACATGTTTGGTGCCTGGTGATCTCCCCATAGCGATGCTCACTGTTAGCATATCGCTGTGAGGAAGAGGAGGGAGGCTGTTTAATGAGCTGCTGAGAGAGGCAGGCGGCTGAGCGTGCCGAGCCCTGCAGCCGGGCACTTCTGGGCTGGGGGCTCGGGTGGGGTGCGGTGCCAGGGTGGGGTGAGCAGGTGGTGCAGAGAGATCTCAGTGAACTTACATCCAAACTTGAGCTAAATGAGAAAAGGAAGGTCCAGTGAAATTGGCCTCCACGTCCACTGTTATACAACATGCCTGGGACGCTCCGAGATAGCCCTTTTTCTTTTGTTCGGGGTTGGGGCCGTTTTTGTTCCATTTTCTTTTTGCCTTTGGGCCTTTTTCCCCAGGGGTTTGGGCCTTTTTTTGGTTGGGCCCGGGGGTTGCACCCGGTTCTCTTGGCCAGGGTTTTTCGGCGGGGACTTGGGCCCTTTGGTTTTACTTGGTTGACTTGGTTTGTGGCCTAGGGCAGGTGGCTTTCCCTCTCTGAGCCTTGGTCTCTCCATCTTAAAATGAGGGAGATGGTTTACTTTAGAGTGTCTTGTCCTTGTTGAGGGGTCGTTGATTCCTTTGAGAATATGATGAAATCACTGGACACTTTACTCTTTGACATGCACATAACCACCAGAGGGTCACAGATCTCTGATGGAAACTCCCTGCCTGAACTGTTTTCCATTGGGACTTCTTGTTACCAACTTCTAAAGTCCCCAAAGCCATCAAAGTAGAGTTAACCGGTTCCCGGCATAGCCCTGGGTCAAGGTATCCCTTTCACTCCACTGGAGAATGAACTCCCCCCTCCCCCACTCCACGCTGGCTACAGACAGGCCGAACCTAGTCTGTCCAGTTACCTTGGGAAGCCACGTCTACGATTCAACATGAAAATAACTTGAAGTACGGGCCTTCTCTTTGCTTTCAGGAGAGAGAAATTTTCAAGAGAAAATTCTCTTTATTTTCAGGGGGCCGATGATGTCTGTCTGCGGTGACAGTCATGCCGTTGGCCTCAGGGAAAACAGGTCCTTCAGGGATGCACAAGGCCCCCTTCAGCCGGTGGGGGGGAAGCAGCTGCCTGGCGACTGGTGGTCACTTGCACCTCCCCCATCAGCCTGAAGGAAAGGGGGCAGCGCTGCGAGGCCAGACCAGAGCAAGCCGGACCCGTCTCCTGGGACGCTACCAGGGAGAAAATAGAGCGTTTAATTAAGCCCCACATGTGAGCAATCAATTCCAATTTTCCACTTCTAATTTAGCAGAGAATTTCAGCTGGGTGAACATTAAGACACTATAGGATCGCTTAATGTTGGTGATGGTGCGGCTAATTTTGATCTTGAACTTTTCTTTTAGCCCTGGCACACTTCCGTGGAGCCCCCTGGTATGTGAAAACGGGGGACATGGAGATGCCTGGGTAGAAGCGGTTGCAGGGATGGGCGGGGCTGTAATTAGGAATCTGTTGCACCCGGCACACAGCGCGGAAAGGGTCTCCACCGAGGAAGAGGAAGATGCAGGGGCTGGCGTGGGTCCCAGGTCTTCCAGGGGGCGTGGAGGGTTCCTCTCTGGTTCCAGGGTGAGCTCGCCACCTCAGTGCAAGGGGCTGTGGATGAGCGCTGGCTGGCAGGGGAGAAGGTGTCTAGATGTTTGCACATTCTGTCAAACATCATCATGTGCAAATGCTGCACGCTGGGATGCAGAGCTCTGGCTGCTTGGCTGGTCTCCACCCATACGGCCGGCTGCTTTGTGGAGCCCTAGTCAGAAAACAGATCCAGCCCAAAGCTGCAGTTGACTGCCAGGGGAAGGGACCTGCCCAGGGTCACACGGGGACTGACGACCTGGGCCCCGGCAAGCTCCCAAGCCGTCTAGCTCCCAGTAAGAGAGCGAGTGGAAGGCTTTGACCTCTTAATATTTGGCCTAAAAGGAGTTATAAAAAAAAGTTTGGAATGAAAGATTGTTATGGCTGTTGTCCAGGGTGCCTGTGATGCGCTCATAAGACTCTGCTAGTCACTTCGTGCAGCAGAGCGGCCGTCCAGGTGGGGATTTTGCAGGGCACAGGGGTCTTCCTTGTGTGGTGGCCATGGGTCCACTATGCAAAAAGCCAACTTGGGGACATGTCAGCTTGGGGACCTGCTGACTCTTGGGGTTTAAAGGAACAGGGACATGTGCCCGCCTAGAGGAGTCAGGGGACACAAGGGCTTTCTAGGAGGGAAGTCTGACGCTGGGGCAGGTGCTCCCCAGGGCAGAGCCCTTGGCTGTGCGGCCACCTGGCGTCACGGTCAGGGGAGGACCGTGCCGGGCGCATCCATCGCAGGACGTTGCCAAAAACCAGTAGAATGAACGAACAGCAAGTGACTTGCTGCCGTGGATGAAATGCTGACTGCTCTCATACACACACTACATCTGACCCGCGGGTCCCAAACCGCTTTGCTGCCACCCATTTGCATCCTGGGGCTCTTTCTCCAGTGGACTTGCAGCCAATGGTGAGCCGCCGTGCGGGGCCGTGTCACTCTTGGGAAGTGCCATCGAGACAGCTCCCAGATGCGTTCTGCTGGGGACCAGAAGAGCCGCCAGCATTTGACACCACTGTGTACAGTTAATGACTCGGAGGAGGCCCTCCCATCTTAGTCCCCATTCCAAACTGGTCTTCTCACATCCCACCCCACCGCCGTCTTCCTAACCCACGGTCTGTCCACGTCACTCGGTCCTCTGCAAAGCGTTCGAGGCCCCCCACCTTCTCGCCGCAGCTTGCCTGCCCAGAGACCCCTCCGCACTCCAGCCCGCCCGCCCCCGCCAGGCCTCTGGGAGCCACGCGCTTGGCGCTCCTTGCTCTTCCCTGGCTACGCTCAGGATGCGCTGCTTTATCGCAGGTGATTCACTCTGCATCTGCCCGTGGCGGCAAAGGGCTGACTCTGTTAGCAAATGAACACACGAGTAAACAAATACATTTAACTGTAAGCTAAGAGTGTCTACCTTCTGGCGTTAGGGGGCCTGGTCTGGGGAGCCGGCGAGGGGCAGACCCGACGACGGCTGCCCTTGTTTCTGCAGTGAAGCTGTGTGGAACCCTTGGTGGCCTAACTGAGGATCAAAAGCCAAGGTCCCCGGCAGTGCGGGAGGAGCCAGAGGCAGGAGCAGTTATCTCAAGGGACAATGCAGAGCCCTGAAAGAGTTCGCCTCTGCCAAGCCTAACGACTGGGTCATTGGGGGACATCCCCCCAGGAGTCCGGCCGGCCGGAGAGCCTGCCCAGCCTGCGCACGGGGCTTCTGGCCAGGACCCAGGTGCCAGGTGTATGGGGCGGGGCGGTGGCAGGCTTGCAGCCACCGCCTCCAACGTGGGGTTCACTGCAGAAAGGCGAGCGCTGCCTTCTTGGCTGTGAGCTTCCGGAGCTGGCGGGGAGGCAGCTGCGCGGGGGGAAGTCCCGCTGGTAGTGGGGGGCAGAGAGAGAACTTATCCATCCCTGCGGAGCCTGGGGAAGGGCTGGGTGGGGAGATCTGATCGGAAGGGTTTGTGGTGACCAGACTCTCTGACTTCTGGCGGTGCTGTGGCCCAGGAGCGAGGGTCTTAGGGGAATAGTGGGATTCTGTCCGCTCCATCCTCAAATGTTGACGGTGACCAGCGTTCTGCAGGCATCTGGAGCCCAGCTTGGGATGTCAAAGACTCTGCTGGGAAGGAAAAGAGGAAGGAGGGAGACTGCCCTAATCCTGCAGGACTGGGTGTGCTCAGGATGGACAGGGAGAAAGGAAGAGGCCCCACAGGGCCCGGGATCACCAGGACTGAGCATCTTGGCCTCGTGCCTCCTAGCTTGGGGAGTCCCCCCTGGGCGCTAGAAATGTACCACCGGCTGGTCTCCACTGGCCGGTCCCGGGTGTGTTTCAGCCACAGTGGCGGGCTGAGGTCACCGTATGTGTTCTCAAGGGGTTTTGAGTTACACGTGCACCACGGGCGAGGCGCAGCTCCCTGGGATCCGGTCGTCGACGTCATCCGTGAGTTTGTGCCCAACGGCCTCGCTGGCGTCCAGGAGTTCACGGTCGCTGGCCACGCTGGCGTCCAGGAGTTCACGGTCGCTGGCCACGCTGGCGTCCAGGAGTTCACGGTCGCTGGCCACGCTGGCGTCCAGGAGTTCACGGTCGCTGGCCACGCTGGCATCCAAGAGTTCACGGTCGCTGGCCACGCTGGCGTCCAGGAGTTCGAGGTCACTGGGCACGGGGGTGCTTTGGAGGCGCCTGAGGCGGGCCTGGAGCTGCTCCTGCTCCTTCTTGAGCTCCAGGTAGGAGTGGGAGAAGGTGTGGAAGATGGACGTGGCCGGGAAGGCCATGATGAGGATCCCGCTCAGGATGCTGCTGAGGGCCACCATCTGGCCTGGCACGCTGCGCGGGACCATGTCCCCGTAGCCCACTGTGGTCATGGAGATGATGGCCCACCAGTAGGAGGCGGGGATGCTGGTGAACTCCAGGACCCGCCCGGACTCGTTCTCGGCCACGTAGACCAAAGGGGAGAAGAGGGTGACGGCCACGGCCAGGAAGAGGAGGAGGAGGCCGAACTCGCGCGTGCAGCGGCGCACGGTGAGCCCCAGCGTCTGCAGCCCCAGCGAGTGGCGCGCCAGGCGCATGACGTAGAGGATGCGCAGCGCCCGCAGCACGCGCAGCACCAGCCCCACCTTCTCCAGGTAGGAGCTGCCGCTCGGCCGCTCGCCGTCCCCGGGGGGCTCCTCGGACACCGCGAGCGACACGTAGTACGGGGAGATGGCCAGGATGTCGATGATGTTCAGGGGCCCCTGGAAGAACTGGCACTTGTTCTGGGCCTGGACGAACCTCAGGCAGAACTCCAGGGAAAACCAGGCCACGCAGATGGTCTCCACCACGAAAATGTAGTAGCACTTTCGAGAGCATTCGCCCTGCGGGGAGAAGAGGCAACAAAGGCAGGGTAGAGAGTGACCCGCATCGGCGCTGGAAACGGGGAGGTCACGCCATGCTGAAAGGCGCTTCTGGGTGTGTGTCGGTTGAGCTCTGGGCTGTAGACTTATTCGTCCACAAACATCTTTTGATGTAGTTGTCAAGTTGTTGCCGGGCAGCCCGACAGCCCTTTCTGGCCTCTCTTACAGCTAGGTGTGGCCACATGGCTAAGTGCTCACCCACAGGGCGGAAACAGAAGTGATGGGAACCGCCTCTGGGTCCACAACTTAAGATATTGGTGTGAACTCCTGCACATGCTTTCCACACTTCTTGTGAGCTGGGACATCCCAGGTGGGCCTGTGCCCCAGCTCAGAGCAGGCAGGTTGGACCAAGGCCCCAGGGGTGGACGGAACATCATGGTGGAGAAAGTTCAGGTCCCAGAACAGGAGCTGTCCGGTCACCTAGTTCCCTCACTCGGGGAGGATTGCACGAGAGAGAAATTTTGTTCAAAGCCGTTCTATCACGGGGCCTCTTTGTTATAGCAGCGGCCTCTGCCTTAACTGGCATGGTACCTCTTGGGTACCATGCACTGCTCTGCTGTCATCACTTAAGCCACACAGCAATACTGTGACCTCATTTGATGGCCTAGGAAATTGGTGACAGCAGTGAAATGACGTGCCTGAGCACACAGACACAGTAGGTCACAGAGTTCGACCCAACCCAGGTCTCTTAGTCACTCTACACTATTTTGTAACTTCTTTGTCTACCAGTCCTCATTCATTGGACCAGTTGAAATGTATAGGGGGTCCACTTTGTGCCAGGCACTGGGCTGGGCTCTGGGGGTGCCGCAGCTAGACAAGCAGACATCGCTTCTGGGGGCCCTGTCTCCCTCAGCAGGTCCCAGCACAGTGGGCGCTATTCTGTATTTTGTTCTCCTAGCAGAGCACTTCCACCAGCCCCTCTGCCACTCAAATGTGGTCCTTGAGCACAAAGCATCAGCCTCCTCCAGGAACTTATTAGAAACTCAGCATCTCGGCTCCCCCCCCCCCCGCCCGGCATCATCATCTGCAGTTTAGCTAGACTCCCAGGTGACTTGTGCACACGTTACCGTTTGCCATGCCCTGGCCTGGTGTGTGGCTCTCGACCTTGGCTTCACATCAGAAGCCCCTTGGGGACCCTTGAAACATCCACTGCCCAGGCTGGGCCCACAGAGATTCCAATTTAATTGATCTAGGTTGGAGCTGAGCCATAGAATTTTCCAGAAGCCCCCTAGATGATTCAGATGTGGAGCCAGAATAGAGAACCTTGCTGTAAATATCACACACACACACATACACACACGTATACTTGATGGATGAGTGTATGAACGACTGAAGCCAGTTGCCTCCGTAAAAAGCAAGATGTTGACAACGGCAGTTTTCTTTGGATTAAAATGCTCTGAGGTGGAAAAAGAAATTATTTCCAGTGCCTGGGCCCACCGGAATCCTAAATTGAAATGTTCCTGATGTCTGGCCCCTGGAGAAAGAGTGACAGGCTAGACCGTCCCAATCTCACTTGACTTCTCTGGTGCTCCGCAGGGCGGGAGTCGGGGGCATTGCCGAGGGACACCGTGCACAGCAGCTGTGGCCCCGTTTCAAATCCCACCTCCTCCACTGGCTCAGGCAACCCCCCTGTCCCCTCTACACTTTCAGCTCTCTCCTCTGGGAAGGGCCGTTGTAGTGAATGGCAATAATGCACACACACACGGCAGGCACACAACACCGTGTGGCTATTTTAACGCGACGATACCTTGGTCACAGACAAAACCTTGGCTGGTCAGCACAAGGTCAGCAACACCCTCCTCCTCTTGCTGGATTTGACAAGCAGGGGAGGAAATTCTCCACCACGCTGAGAGGCCTTTGCCATGACTGTCACGAATGGCTTTAGGATCCTGGAGGGCTCAGGAGTTTGGGGCCCTGGTTCCCCAGGTCCTGCTGCAAACTTACTGTGTGGCTCTGCAATGGTCCCTGCCCTTCTCTGAGCTTCAGTTTCCAGTGGAGAGGTTGGGACAGAACCGCTGGTTCTTTTATTTATTTATTTGAGACAGAGTCTCGCTCTGTTGCCCGGGCTAGAGTGCCGTGGCACCAGCCTAGCTCACAGCAACCTCAAACTCCTGGGCTCAAGTGATCCTCCTCCTGCCTCAGCCTCCCAGGTAGCTGGGACTACAGGCATGCGCCACCACGCCCGGCTAATTTTTTCTATTTTTAGTTGTTTGGCTAATTTCTTTCTATTTATAGTAGAGATGGAGTCTCGCTCTTGATCAGGCTGGTCTTGAACTCCTAAGCTCAAGCAACCCTCCCACCTCAGCCTCCCAGAATGCTAGGATTACAGGAGTGAGCCACCGCGCCCAGCCCAGAATCACTAGTTCTCAAAGCTGATTCCTGCACCAGAACCCCCCAGGTATTTGTTATGAATGCAGATTCCTGGGCCCTCAGCACAGCATCGAAACCCTAGGGTGGGCTGCCCCAAAATTTGCATGTTGGCCAGCTCCCTACAAGACCTCTCTCTTTGTTGATGTTCTGGGAATTTTCTCCTGGGCTTAAGAGACTTGTAGCCTGGGAATAACTTTTGCAAACCAATGATCCCACAGCAGAGGAAGGTGACTCCCGAGAGGCCGAGAAGGTTCTGCCTCCGGGGTGGTGTTTGGATATTCAAGCCATGCACACCGGCTCCTGCTGCCGCAGCCTGGCCTGCTGGCCACCTCCCGCACTGCAGCAGGCCCGGGTGCCGAGTCACCGCCCCCGCATAGGGCTCTGCTCTGCATCCTTAAACCAGCTGCCTCCTCCTGCACGGCTTCCTGGAGGAATGAACCCACCGTGGCCGGGGGTGGGGATCCGTGGAGCTCAAGCTGAGGCAGTAATTCCCAGCCCAGCCAGTATTCGAAAAAACAAGAAAAAGGGAAAGGACAAAAAGGAAAAAAAGTTATTCTTTCCCCCTTTGTGGAAGTTTCCAGGTGTATTTTGTAAGGAGGGCCAACAATTCATCCTGTTTGCCCCAGGTTTGAGCACAGAAAGTTCCAGGTCCTGGGAACACTGTCAGTCCTGGGCAAACAGGGTGGTCAGTCACCCTGTTCATGGGCCTTGTCACCCATGGGGTGAGGTGTGCTCTCATTCCTTCCCGCAGGGAAGAAGAGCGAAACTCGGCCGAGACACGGCGGGGGGCGGGAACGGTGGAGCAACACAGGTGCATGTCACAGACCACGCGTAGGAATGAGCAGCTACGGTGGAACATGGGTTGTAGGTTTCCATCTCTGGGAGCCTGAGAACAGGCAAACCCACCTATGGGGCACAAAACTGTCACAGCAGCGGCCGCCCCAGGTGGGGGAGGGATCAACTGTGAGGGGCCGTGATGGAGCTTTGTGGGGTCCCAGAAATGTCGTATAGTAACAGGGTGACAGTTACACGGGCGTAGCCGTGTGTTAAATTGCACAGCTGAGATTCGTGCATTTTACAGGTGAAATTGCAAGGCATGCAATTTCACCTGTAAAACTGTGAAATCAAAATGATAGTAAGTGATTTGGGTGGAGAGAGGATGGAGAGAGAGAGGATGCAGGAAGGGCCAAATATTGCCCATGGTTGGAGCTGAGTTGTGAGTCCTCGGGGCTCATTGTATTATTCCATTTACTTTGCAAGTGTCTGAAATTTTCCATAATGAAAAGTGAAAAAAATGAAAATGAAAGAAAATCAAAACTACAATGAGGCATGGCTTCACGTCCACCTGGGCGGCTGGGATTGCAGAGGCAGACAGCAGCAAGCGCCGGTGAGACCGCGGAGAGGGCGGAGGGCGTCCGCACGGCTGGGATTGCAGAGGCAGACGGCAGCAAGCGCCGGTGACATCGCGGAGAGGGCGGGAGCCATCCGCACGGCCGGTGGCATATGACATGGTAAGGTCTGCGCAACTTGGTTGGCACTTCCTCAAAAGGTTAAACTTAGAGTGACCGTCTGTCCCCGCAATTCCACCCTTGTGCACAGATGTCTGCAGCAGGACCATGCATAATGGCCCCAAAGTGGAAACAACCTAAAAGTCCATCAACAAGGAATGAATGAATAAAATGTGGCATAGCCACACAGTGGGATATCAGCCAGCCCTACAAAGGAACGGAGTGTAATACACGCTGTAACACGGAAGGGCCTTGAAGACGTCATACTCGGACACAAACCCACACAGTGTGCGATTCCACGTCTAGGAGCTGTCCGGAACTGGCAAATCCACAGGGACAGAAAGCAGATGCGTGGTGGCGGGGGGCTGGGGGAGGGGGAGAACGGCGGTGGCTGCTGATGGGTGTGGGAATAAGATGGTGATGGCTGAGCCGTCACGAACACACTAAAAACCACTGCACTGTGCACCTTCAAAGGGTCTCATAGGTGAAATACATCTTTACAAAAAAGGATCCGGGTTCCGAGTCTGAGCTGGTCACATATTCCCGGGTGAGGCCGTGGGTGGGGTCCTGCCAGACCCTTCTCCGCAGCGCCCGGAGCCGGGCCCTCAGGGCAGAGCCGCTGCCCCAGGCTCTGTCTGGACAGGCTGCTGGCCAGACACGGCTGCAGGTGCAGTGGGGGCAGTCCTGGAAGCTCCAACCCGGAGGGACTTGGGGCCGCAGTCTTGACCTTGGAGCCGTCCTGGTCCCCGCCTTTCACAAGTGCCCCTGCAGCCCCCCCTTCTGGACACAGCCCTTCTCACTTCTGCGGCAGTTCTCGGGCTCAGTGCTGTCCCCACTGCTCGGCTGGGCAGTTCAGGCCTCCCTCCCGCTCCTCCCTGCCGCTGTGAATTTGTAATGTGGGCCTCCTGCCCTGGCCTCGGGCCTGGCTGTTTCCTCTGGGACTGTCCCGGACCTGGACGTGCTGACTCACTCCTCTCCCGGCTCCTTCCTTGATTAGACCGGGACACGGGGGAGTGGCTAGCACAGGGCCAGGTGCCCCACAGGGCTCTGATGTGTGTCCACAGACCCCACATCTCACAGTGG